AGGCAGAGGCAGCGGGAGCAGGAGTGTAAGGAGGCAGCGGCAGCGGGAGTGTAAGGAGGCAGCAGCAGCGGGAGCCGGAATGTAAGGAGGCAACGGCAGCGGGAGTGTAAGGAGGCAGCGGCAGCGGGAGCGGCGACAGCGGCAGCGACAGCGGGAGCAGGAGCGGCGAGCAGCGGGAGGCGTGAGCGGCGACAGTGGCAGCGTTTACGAGCAGCGACAACGGCGAGCAGCGGCAGCGGCAGCGACAATGAGGGTTAGGGTTGGGTTGTCGCTAATATCGGTTTTAGTTGGTTCGATTGAACCAACTAACTATCGGAGACCGAACCAGGACTGAACCAGACCTAAAATCCTGGTTTGGCGCTTGGTTTAACCCAGGCGCTCGCCCGAAGTGCCTAGTGCTTGGGCTCGGGCGAGCGCCCAGGCGGCGAGCGCCTCTTTGAAGCGCACTGCCTGGAAGTTTAGCGAGGCGCTCGGGCCTCGTCTCACCTCGCCCGAGCGCCTTTTTAAATCACTGATTTGTATTATGGATTTCATTTTGAATAATGAGACCAAATTGATTAAATTAAGGGCCATATTACTGGTTGCAGTTTTAGCCCCTTGGTAAGTGTTTTGGTTATGATGGCTTTAGCCATTTATGGTCAAGTTTGTCTATTTTTGTTGATCCTTATTGGGATATTTTGAAGATATTTGACTAAAGAAATCATCAGTTTTAATAAAATAATTGACTAAAAAAGATATTTTGAAGTTTTAATTAATGCAATGATGTTGGGATTGGTTTTGATGATTTCTTTAATTTTTTACATTGATTCGTTTCAGTATTCTTTCAATGGGACTATCCTTTCATGATCTAAATTGACTTAAAGTCAAAACTTTGAGTTGAACTTTAGATTTTGGAAAGTAAGATTTTGTAAAGAAGTCTGAAAGTCAATAGTTTGCTTTTCTTTTTCTATTGAGAATAAGTCTGCAAAAGTTGATTTGGCTTTGTTGTTTTATCATCTTTAATATGTGGGTACCACCAACTTCATGACTTCTGTATGCCATTTATCTTGTATGACTTTGTATAAGTTTTATAGTCGATAATCCATTGGAAACAATATCAGTTATCAGAAAATGGTATAAGATTGAATCCTCACTGGGGGAACGTTCTCGGTGAGATAACAAATTCATTGAACTTAGATTTAGCTACTTCAATATTTGCTTGATAGATTGCTTTGAGTTATATTAAGGATTTTGTCAATCGTTCTATTGTTGCATGAAATGTCATACAGTCATAGTACTAGCAAGAGAGAATATTGTTTGCCAATTGTGAATATCGGACTTAATGCTTTTGTCAGTTGTCTGATCCAATAGGCCTACTAGCCCATGAACTTGAACAGCTTCTGATCAAGTGGCCCCAAGTGCCTGAGTGGCTGGTATTATCCTCATTTGGTCTTATTTACACATCTCATCATTCATTTCCTATGTGAGACATGATGTTATATACACAATATAATCAATAAAATATTTAGGTCATGAGTGCAAGAATTGAATATGTGGGCACGCATTTTGTGTTTAGTGCAAGAATTAAATATGTGATATATAGCCACATATTATGCTGATTATTATATTTATAAAACTAAGTTGAAGTGTAAACAAGACAAGGATTGCAATTTTGAGTATTGAACTTGTACTGGTTTGAGGCCAGACTAGTATGGGTCTGGTCCATGCTGGCTTATTGACACATATTACACTGGCATGTATGGTGGTACCATGGGGAGGGAGGAGGAGGAAGAAGAAGGAATAAGGAAGAAAAAAGAAACAAAGAAGAAGAAGAAAGAAGGAATAAGAAGTGAGGAGGAGAAAGTGGAGGAAAAGAGAAGAGGAGTCAAAGGAGGAGATGGACCAGGAGGAGAAGCATTGGTATAGTGACGGTTGCCATGGGCTTGCGGCACAGCTAGGCAGCTCCCAAGTTGTGTGTTTGTGATGTGTGATAAAACATAAGTGCAGTGTTTTTTTGAAAAAATATATAAAAGGTCCTGGTCGCTCTAAAAGGGGCATCCCACATCATGATTCACTCCAAGGAAGAAGGAAGAAGTAAGAAGGAACAAAGAAGAAGATGAAACAAGGAATAACAACGGAGGAGGAGAAGGTGGAGGAGAAGCGAAGTAGAGGCAAAGGAGGAGACGCATTGAAGGAGATGGAGCAGGAGGAGAAGCATCGGAACAGCCACGGCTGCCATCGGCTTGCGGCACGGCTGGGTGGCTCCCACATTGTGTGTTTGTGATGTGTGAGAAAACATAAGTGCAGTATTTTCTTTTGAAAAATATATAACAGGTCCTGTTCAGTCTAAAAGGGGCATCCCACATCCTGATTCACTTAAAAATAGGTAAATACAGGCTGGCATCAATCAGTCTGGTCGGTTTTGCTTTCCTTGAAACAAAGACTATTGAGTCTAAGTTGTTAGTAGGTCAATTGTATGCTTAGGTCAAATAAAAAAAATATAGAATCAAATCCATTCACATTAAAGATTATATTTGAAGTGATAAGATACAAGTAAAGATTTAATTAGTGAATGACATACTCTCAGGAATCTTAAATAATTGAACCAACATAATAGTAGAAGTTGCAACAATGCAATTAACGAGAAAATATACATGATCTATGTGACCACACTTACATATTTGTGCAGAGTGCAGACCACATATGTTCGATGGGTTGCAAGCTAAATAGCAGCAAATATTGACTGTTATCCTTCTCTGAGGAATTCATATGAGTGCATATACATCTGCAGCAACATTTGGTTAACCATCTAATGTGTTGTGGTTGGTTGCATCTGGAGGAGACCTATAAAGGCTTTGGTTGGGCAACTATTTCAGATTAGTGAAGTGAGGATATTTAGATGCTGAAACTTTATTAGAAACAAATTGATTTGATGGATCTTTTTAGAAATAAAAGATGTGTTTTGTGTCTGTTTCCATGATAGGCCTATAGATGCACCTAGTCAGATGAAGTGAATGAACTCAAATTTGTGGTGTGAGGAGAGGTATATGAAGGCCAAAGCAACTTATTCTGAAACAAAGAAAAAACTGATTTGATGGTCCTGCAAGATAGCTTTATTGTGAGTAACTTATAGTTGGGATCTTTTGGCTTCTTTTTGTTCTTATATTACTAGTGCAACAATCTACTTATATAGTAAATTCTCAGTTTAGGTCTCTTTGAAATTGACATATTTAACTCTTTTAAAGACTTTTGTTGTGATAGTAGGCATAGTTTAAATGAGTATTGCTCTAAGAATTAAGCATATTGAACTATTACCATTTGAGGGACATGGCAACATGCTAACTTGGAAAACATAGCACTAAACTGGCATAGAGCTTACGTCAATCATTGTAAAACTCATGACAACTCTTGCCTATTCATATAATGTTAATGCATTACTATCACTAGTAATATCATGAAATTAAGAATGTGGACTTTAATTACCTCAAATGAAATACACTTATTGCTCCTTGTCCTGAGGAGATAGATTTTGCTTAGTAATAACTTCATCCTTTATTTTTGTAACTGTTCGTCTCTATTTCTTTTTGAGTTTCAAAATTTCTTCTGGGAGATAAGACAAGTATCTGGTCATTATTTTACTCGTATTCCTGTTTGACTATACAAGTGGTTCACAGAGAAGATACTCTTAATGTGTACACTATAATGTTCTTTTCTTGATAGAAACCTTATAAGATCAAAATGCATGCTAGAAACCTTTGAAGTTGCTTTTAGTAAGAATTTCATTAGGTAAATTGTTGGTGAAAGAAATTACTTCAAGGTAGGAACAACATTTCTTTTTTCTTTAAATCAAGAATCTTTTTACCTCAGCAAAGGAAATTGTAAGAATTTTATTGATATGCTGATTACATTGACTATAGCTCTTAGGGTCTTTATCATCTGAGCCAAACAAGAAAGTGGCTTAGTGTTTTCTACCATGAGCTCTACCAAATTTGTAGTGCAATTTGTTCTTTAGTTCAGCTTTAACTATGGTTATGTGGCTTTTATGTTAACAATTTGCACTGTGAAGAGCTGAGTCTTGCTCAGACAAGCGATTATGTTTGATCCTAAATTAGCTAAACCATGTGCCTCATTCTAACATTATAATGATCCGGTGCTCTAACTTAATCTAAACTTATGGAGGGAAACATCAACTAACATGTCTTTCTCCACTCAAGCATAAATATATGTGAAATTGTGGTGCTGCCTGGCTATAATAGGGGTTCTTTCTTTTTTGAAGTTGTTTTGATGTAGTTTGTTGTTCTTATAGTTTCTTATGTTGATATTAATTGGTCCAAAATTTCTAGTATCATTCTTTAAAAAGGTGATTATTCTTAACAAAATTTTCCTATTATTTGGAAGGTGGATTTATTTCGAGGGTTTACTTTACCAGATGCTCCATCTTTTAGACAAGTTTTTGGAGGACAATTAATTGGACAGGCAAGCTTTAAAAGTCATATATTTTCACTTAATGCATTGACATGTACTTTCTGAGTTTCTTATTTTCGTTATACCATGTGACCATTGTTAGTACTATGAGGAGAAGTAGAGGAAGACCTAAAATGTTTTTATTCGAAATATAAATAATAAAGATTTATATACTCTTTTTTTTTTCAAAAAGAAATTAGAAGTTGCTATTAAGAAAGTAGTCTCACATCACACAACCAGGGCTTGATAGATCAGCACTCAAAAAATAAGGAAACATATCAGGTAAGTGATCCATCCACAAAAAAGGCCTGGTTGAGCAAACAAAGTTTGCCAACCATTCTGCACATTGGTTTCCATCATGAAAAATAAGGGAAACCCATATCTCCACGAGGAGATCAAAAATACGTCTAACAAGATTAACAAGCTGCCATGGAGGCTCCTTTTTCCTAGAGAGAATGTCAACGATTACAAGATCATCAGTCGTAATGTGAATTTTGTGCAGATTAAGTTGTAATGCCTGTTGAAGCCCCATTTTGGCTGCGAGCAGCTCTTGATAATCGATGTTACAGCTTTGGCAAAATCCACCTGCTAAAAAACATAAACCTGCATCAGTTCGAATAAAAAAGCTGCATCCCCCATACTCCCCTTGAAGGACCATCCCCGTATTTAACTTTGGTTTCTGCCTAGTAACCATGACCTGATACAATTCAGACCACAATCCCTCAGATGCATCACAAAGGGAACTAACTGAGACAACAGTTTTACAAAAGATGGAGAATGGAGAAACCTTCCTGCCATTGAAGGCAGCATTAGTTTTAGCTTTCTAAACCAGCCAGAGAGCAAACATGATCACACCTTTAAGTGTCCTAGACCTCCTTTTATCCAAATCCTTACCTTCAAGGAGCCACTTACCAATATGCCATAAATTAGAAAATTGAAATGAAATATCAAGCTTATTGGTCTGCTAAGCAGTGTAAAAACACATTTAGTGAAGGTGTAGTTGAAAAAGATATGATCGACACTATTAGAATGTAGATCACAAAGGTAGCAAAGTTTTGCCTCAACAATACCAAACTGTGCAATATAGTGGGTAGCAGGTCAACATTGATGCAGTAACTTCCAACAAAAGCAAGAAACCCGAGGAATACAATTATATTTCGACAAATCAGATCATTTAATATCAGAAATAGGCGTTGGTGCATGTTGTTGGGCAAGATACATATTAGCACTTCTGGTGGTTGGTTGCCCTTTATCATTAAGCTTCCAAACCCATTTGTCCTCATAAGGATTAGGCGATAGATTAAACGAAGAAATAACACTGGCAGAAATGCCCCTAAACAAAGAATGCAGTAAGTCATGATTCCATGATCCGAGGATTGTTGTACAACACAAATTGGTACGATACGGGTGGTGCATACTGGTCCGAGCATGGACCAATACACAAACTCTCCTTTTTCGGATGATCCATATTAAAATAATAAAAAAATTAAAAGTGGTGGGCCCTAATCCATTTTAGCATTAAAAAATAAAAAAACAAGATTAGGGCTTTTCTTGCATATGAAGCTACAATGCTGCCTCTTCATCGGTTAGTTGTTGCGATGCTGCAACAACGATGCCTCTTTGTCACTTTGTCATCGCGATGCTGTAGTGGCGCTACCTCTTCACCGTTGTAGCGGTGCTAGCTCTTCGGCGCTATGCGCTGTAGCGGGACTGCCTCTTCACCATTGTAATGTTGTAGCGGCACTGCCTCTTTGCCGTTGTGATGCTGCCATCGCTTCCTAAGTATCTTCTCTTCGATGTTGTCGTTGCTTCCCAAGTATCGCTGTACTACTCCTTTTCTTTCTTCTTCTTTCTTCCTTTTCTCCTTCCTCGTTTATTCCTCCATCGACCCTTCCTCTTCAACCTCCTTTTCTTCCTCGTCAAAACATCGGTATGCATTGGCATACCGTGTTGTCACGGACAAAGCTATTAATAGGGTGTTTGATGTAATGCTCATATATGTCTATGTCTTTCGGTTTTGTTCATCCTTTGTACAATATGTAGAAGGCTTGCAGTAGGCTTGATAGTCCCATTTTGATTAGCTTTGTTGGCCATGTCAGGCTTGTAAATGCAAGTTGTATGTAGTCATCACGTAGAGGCAAAACTGCATAGAAACGGGGCATCCAAGTAGTCATTTTAGGGGTTTTCTAGTTTCGTAGAGTGGTACGGAGTGTCAGCTAATACAACAACCAAGAGCTACCCGGTTGGATGAGCCTTTGGGGTAGTGTCTAGGGCTGGTTCGTTGCGTTGTTCCACAACAGCGTCATGTGGGCACTTGTAGGGACTTTGGCCGCGGTGGACCACCTTGGACCCTTTGTCAAAATCAGCTAAGTCCGTGACAGATGGTATCAGAGCGGGACACAGACACACTTATAAACACTTGGTATGCAAACGTGGGGATCTAGCGGGGTTACATTGAGAGTAGCTAGCATGCGTGATCGTTTGGGGAAACGAGTGTTGAGATATAGAGAAGGAGTCGTTTAAAGGAGTGGGCATCCGAGATTGACATTCAGAGGAATGACCGACCCTTCGCACAAGAGGCACTATGAGGACGAGCAAGTTGGGAAGAACGTGTAGCGCATAAAGGTTGGGATGGCTGAGTTCAAGCTACGGCTTGACATTGGCAATCAAACTTGACGGTGTTCAAGGCAAGCAGGGCGCTTGGCAAAGAATGAGATCGTGCAAGGTGGGATGGATTGCTCAGCGACTGAAAGAGTTATGTAAAGCTCACAGAGGTGAGGGGAATTGCTAGCTTGAAAAATTTGGTACTTATGCAAGGGCTTGTATGCGGACAATGAATTGTTCGTGGCCATTCTAAGGCGATCGAAACTCAACGCCATAAAGCATTGAAACTTTCCCTTCGGTATGGGAAGGATACATCCGTAGGAGGCTGAAGTGTGTAGTGAGTTCAGCATGTTGCTAGCCCTTGAGGGGTGCATATTAGTGAAGAGCCACAATCTAGCAAGTGCGTTCATGTGGACGGAACAATGCATAGTTTGTTTAGCAAGGCAGAGTAGTCCAAGAGGATGATGGTCTCTGAAACTTCTAGAGGGAAGGATGCGAAGAGGAAAGTTGCTCTAATAGGTTGACTGTCTATTGACACCCAATTGCCTTCGTAAGGTTGGCTGCCTATTGACACCCAATTGCCTTCGTAAGGTTGGCTGCCATTTTCAATGATCGTTTGTACTAGATCCGGAACTTCTAGTCTTATAAGTATGGTATCAAAGAATGAAGTACTCAAACAAGGCATCCTTGGTATCTCAAGTTTAAGGACTAGATACACAATTGGGACTACGGAATTGCTGTTTGACGATAAGGTATCATTAAATAATCAGCATTTCGTAAGCGGATCATTTTGTGAACTCATTCTCCAATGAGCACCTCACTATATCCCTACTGTCGCCACACAAGTAGTTATGAGACTAGTTGCCTTCATCATATAGACGAGTATATAGTACATCGGTTTGTCCGATTACCTCGATGTCCTTCTCGAGCAACCTATGACCTAGAATATTTAGGATCTGTGTTTAAAGGTGAATTGGTCTCATTATCATGATCTCATTATGATCTAATTCCCATTGCATAGATCTAAGGACATCATAATATATTCATCATCCGATATAAAGTGAGAAAATACCATAATAAATATTAACAAAAAAAGATTGTGCAGTGTATCACATGTGCCATTACTCACGAGATTGGCTTGCAAGGCACTTGTAACTAACAATCTCTCATTTGACCTAAAGCCAATCACCCACATGCCTGATCCCAATCAGGTCCTAGTGATGCTCGAAAATAATCTGAGATAACGACTTTGTCAGTGGATCTACAATGTTATCTTTGGATGAAATTCTTTCCACTACTACATCACCACGAGCTACGATCTCTTTGATCAAGTGAAACCTCCTCAGAACGTGCTTAGACTTTTGATGAGATTTGAGTTCCTTTGCTTGAGCAATCGCCTCATTATTGTTGCAATATTAGAGAATTGGCTCCTCGTTGCTCAGCACGACTCCTAGATCTGCAATGAACTTCTTCATCCAGACTCCCTCCTTTACTGCTTCTACCATAGCAATATGCTCCGCTTTAATGGTCAAGTCAGCAGTAGTGTCTTACTTGGAACTCTTCCAGCTTACTGCTCCTCCATTCAGGGTGAACACATACCCTGAGTTTGACTTGCTATTATCAACATTAGACTGGAAACTTGAGCCCGTGTAGCTCTCAACCTTGAGGCTACCTCCTCCATATACTAATAAAATATCCTTAGTCCTTCTTAAGTACTTAAGGATTCACTTTACTGCCTTTAAGTGTTCCAAACCTGGATTTGCCTGATATATGCTCGTAACACTTAAAGCATGCACTATATCAGGCCTGGTACATAGCATAACATATATGATAGATCCTATCGCAGAGGCATAAGGTATCCTATCTATATCTGCCCTTTCTATAGGAATCATTAGGGACATACTCCTAAAAAGTGACCTCTCTTGGAATTTTCTATGTCAAAACTTTTGACAATGGTGTCTATATACCTAGACCGAGACAAGCCAAGTATCCTTTTAGATCTATCTCTATAGATTTGAATCCCCAAAATGTAAGATGCTACGCCTAAGTTCTTTATGGAGAAGTGTCTAGATAACTAAGCCTTAACCGTGGAAAGCATTCCTATATCATTCCCAATGATTAGGATGTCATCCACATATAGCACCAAGAAGGTGATAGCGCTCCCACTTTTTTGTACACATAAGGCTCATCTTCGTTCTTAACGAAGTCATAAGATCTGATTGCCTCATCATATCTTATGTTTTAACTTTGGGAAGCTTGTTTTAGTCCATAAATGAACTTAAGCAATCTGCATACAATGATTTAAAAAGGCGCTCGGGCGCTCGCCTAGGCGCTCGGGCGAGGCGAGGCGAGGCCCGAGCGCCTCGCTAATCTACCAGGCGGCGCGCTTCAAACAGGCGCTGCTTGGG